CTGTGTTTGAACGTTGTGTTTGGAATAGCAAAAGCCAAGCCTAAAATGACCCTGCTTCAAATAAGTATGCTTTAGGCTAATTTTTAATTAAGTAGTAAAATCTTCCAATAGTGCATGGTCAACTTTGTCAAATTCAGGTCTCATTCCATAGCGAGGATCAGGATGCTTGCCCTAGGGGTTACTAAAGATGAATAGGAACATTTTAAAATACTGCAACCAGGTGGTAACTTTAGGAAGCTAGACTTTGAGCCTAATGTGTCAATAGTAGCACGTCGGCACCTGATCAAATCTGAATTGCTAGAAATCTGTTCTTCCTAATAAAGGACAAATACAAGATGCTAACAGTTATATGCCCTATAAGATTGTGTAGGTGACAAAGGTAATTTATTTGTAAAACTCCACAACAACATAAAAACTCTAATTTTAACGCTTACAGTGTAGATTATGTGTGTTACTTCTTTTTACGCACATCTTTGATGTCATTGGGACTAAAACTAGTTGCCTTTACAGTGTGCTCTTCTGGCTGTCATATAGCTAGCTTCCAGCTGTAACTGCACAGACAGATGAAAGATTAGCAACATTTCAGGGATAACTGCAGAAGCAACCAGGAACAAACTGCTGTCAAATGCACAAAGTGTGCTGTGCTATAGCTCTCCATAATGTGTTGGTTATTGGAAACCCAAACTGCTGAAATCCCAAGTGTTGTGATAATAATTACAAAGAGATGGAGTTTTTGTACCCTTGAAACTAAAGGAATGTAGGAAGTGTAAGCCCCCAAAGGCATGTGGCATTTCTTAAAATACTTTGCTGGTTGCTCCTTGCATTTGGGGTGCGTGTGTTTGTGTGTGTAGCAGTCTCACCATGCTTGGAGTTTTCTTTACAAGATGCACAGAGAAAGTGAGATATAATTGTTTCCTCATGTTCCCGGGGGGGAAGTACTAGATTTCAAATTTTTTCTATGTGTTTGTGGTTGTATCTAATAAATCAGGAATTTTAATTGTTGTCTTTAATCTATAGTAAGTGTTTGGAATAGTGTTTATTGAAGAGTGATTTGAGTATTTTGCTCTTAAAAGAGCTTGAAGTTTACAGCAATGTACTCTTTATGAGGGAGGTACTTTAATACAAACCAGATGAAAGCATGATTATTTTAATAGCAATCTTTAAAGCTTCCATTACGTTCTCATTGCTTTCTCTGACTGAATGCGGAAATTTATTGGAAAGCTTAACTCACCTGGCTATCCCATCTTTAGACTTGTTCAGTAATTGTATTCCCATGTTTATTTTTTGAGTAAGCAGTGTATGAAAACAATTTTGTCATTCAACTCCAGAGTCTTAGGTGGTTTGTATAAACAGTGTGAGCATCATATAAATAATACTTAAAGCCAACACTTGGTGTATATCTAAAACAATACAGTGTGCTTCCTTTTAAAGACCAGGGCTTAAGGCTGTTTCGTAATTTTACTGGATTTGCCTCTGTCAAGATAGGAAAAGAGCCTTCTGTGATATTCTTCAAAATTTCACTATGGATGGCTCTTGAAGGCATTGCTGCTCCCTCTGTGGAACGCGTTGCATCTGCCTGGGCTGGATGTTCAGTAGGAGTGTACACAAGTGAATGTTTTCAACTGGACAGGATTTTTCTGATTATTATGTAAACATATATAGGTAAAATCAGACAGATGCTGTTTCATTATAAGCATGCAGATACTTTCTTCTGTGTTCCCTTCCTTCTAATCATACAGCCGTGAGTGTACTGTGTATCACGATACTGGGTGATTAGAGCAGGGTCCAAAAATTCTCGCCCATCTTTAGATCCAGTGCGCTGCGTGGCTCATGCAGAGAGATAATACGTGCACGTACAAGCTGCTTGTGGGTTCGGTAACACGTATTGCGCTAGGCTCGCTGCACCCCTGCGGTGCTCTTGTCTTTCAGGGGGCTTAGCCGCTGGCGTGGGCTGTTGGAAGTTGTGCCGAAGGATGCCGTGTCAATGGCAGAGGGAACACCTATGCTCTTAACCTGCCTTTCTGCTCCCTTGCTAAACTAATGCTGGGCACTAGAAACCAGTATCGTGTTCTTGGAATCTTTTTCTACTTACTACACAGGGTAAAAAGGAAACATTACCAAGCAAACTGTTGGGCCCTAGGGTCAGTTTGTTGTATCTGAATGTTGATATTTTTTTCCTAGGGCTTTATATACTGCAGAGGCTTTGTGAATAAACCTTACAAAAATGCCTGACTGGAGACAGGCGGAGCTAACTGCTGGTGGAAATTATTAGGGCCGGTTTGTGTAAAATATTTTTTATTAGAAAAGCGGGCCTAATACATGCTTTAGGGAGAGGAGGGTTTAAGGAGAAAACGCAATCTCCATCGTGCAGGAATTTTCATTGTAACTTCAGACGTACAGGTAGTTCTCTTAAGTAACTCGCATGCCTGAGGTTAAGCATGTTTATCTGCAGAATGTGGTTTTAGTGTCAAGAAACAGATGCTTTTAATACAATAAGGGACAATATATGGAATAGGTTAAGCAGCATTTCTGTGCTAGTTGAATCATATAAGCTTTATGCCATTTGTTTAATTACAGAAATAATAGGACTTAATGTTATTAAGTAGAATGTCTTTTTGCATCTGCTATGAATTAAATCTAAGTGGAAAAATAATCCTGTTAATCATGCTTGGTATTTCTAAGTTACTACGCAGATTTAAAATACTAGCGCTCAAAAGTAGTCTGGCTTTGAAAGTCTGTTTCAAATGTCTCTATAAGCACAATTAATGCTGTGCTTGAAGCCTGGATATGTCAGCGTGCAGTATTATTTTGAAAGAAAAAAATCTGCAAGTAGTCTGGTATGTTTTGTTTCTTTTGGAGAAGTTCAGTTTTGGACATAGGTGCTCTAAATGTAGTTTTCAAGGACCGTAAACTTACCCTGTTACTTAAGGACCAAAAGTTTTTTGGAGAGAGGGGTAACAAAAGGATGAATTCTAATATTTCAGCTACTTGATTTGCAGCAGCATGTTTTAAAGCTGCAGAGTGGCAAACTGATGAAATGTAAAATGAAGAAAAAAATAGGGTGCTGATAGCATGCCATTTGACAAAATATTGACGTGTGGTCAGCAGCAGAGTGGTATGCTGGTTTTTGTTGGGAGTTTTTTTTTTTTCTTTTGCTTTTCTTTCTTTTCTTACTTTTTCCGTTGTTTTTTTGTTGTTGTTGGTTGGTTGGTTGGTTGGTTTTTTAGTAAGAGAAATCATTGGAGTATGCCCCAATGCCAGGTTTGTTTTAAACACTAAGGACCTTCTTTAAGGTTTTTTTTAGGGGGGGGAGGGGGTGTTGGTTTTTTTGGTTTTGTGTTTGGGGTTTTTTTTTTACATTTTAAAGCAAAAATATTAATCTTCTTTTTGTGCTTATTAGCCACTCAGCTTTTTCCTGGACTAGTAAATCATGTGCTGCTATTCCCCCACCATTATTCCACAACATAGGCATAACAATTATTTAACATGTGTCCAATATAATCTCTAGTATATCTGTAACAAATTCAACACTTCTGGGATGCATTAAGCAACATATATAAAATAAATGTTTCAAGTGTGTGCAGTAAATTTGTGTAGTTCCAGCACTGCTGGACTAACTGTGTGTGCTTGGTGCAGGTTTTCTCCATGTGTATTAAAAGCACAGCCCTCCTGGGGTGCAAAACCCACTGCACGAGTACAGAATGCTTGTTTTGCATATATACAACATATCTGATGCGTGTGACATCATGTGGGATTTATTGCTTAAGGAAGTTACGGAACAGGGTAAAGGAAGATGTCGGCTTACACAAAGTTCAGTGGTCAGTGAAGTATATATGGTTCACAAGCTGCACATTGATCAACCCTAACTTAGAGCTTGTAGTGCTACCTTGCTATGAGGTAGCACAGATATTGAAACCCAACCAAAATACCTTTGAGGCTCACACGTATATAGGGAGGTCCAAGCTGTACTGTTTAAAAGGTACAGCACATGCATAGTACAATTATCCTATGGTCCTATGAATTAAATTTTGTGCTTTAATTGATAAGGTTAAGTATTTATGTTCTTTTTTTTTTTTTTTTTTTTTTTTTTAAATTGTACCTGCATTTTAAAATTCACAAAATGGTTGAGGTTGGGAGGCACCTCTGGAGGTCATCTTGCAACCCCCCTGGCACAAGCAGGGCCGCCTAGAGCCAGTTGCCCAGGACCATGTCCGGACAGCTTTTGAGTGTCTCCAGGGATGGAGACTCCACAACTTCTTTTGGCAACCTGAAGTGAATTGACAGTTCACTTTATCATTGACAGTTTAGGCATGAAATCAGCGTAATAGAATAATAATGTATTTCTGGTATTTCCCCCTGAAAAATTTCTAATGTAAAAAAAAAAAAAAAAAAGTACTGATTGAAAACAGAAGTCTGTCTAGCCTAATATGCTGTCTTCAATAGCTTCTGTAAACAGATGTGTAAGGAAGAGCAGGGCATTCACATGAATGCTTCTAGTTTTCACGTTTTTCAGCTCAAGATCATTCTGAGCCGTATCTGGTTCCTGTTGAACAAGCAAGCACTAACAAGTTTCTTTTCTCCGTATTTATCTAATATCCTTTTGAACTTTTAATGTTCTTTGACATGAATATTTTGCACACATGCAAATAGTTTTGCATATTTAGTTTGTACATTGGCAAGCAAGAAACAAATTTACTGAATGGAAAACAATCTCCTTTTCTCTGTTTTGAATTGCACTCCTCATGGATTGAAAACTCTTGTCCCATAGTTATGTCACAAAAGATAGCGAACAGTCCCTTCCCTTTCCACCTCCTTTGAGCTGTTCTTGCCGATTTGTACCTTCTTGGATGTTTTAGTCACTTGGAAACAGGCAGTGTTTTCTGTAATGCAGTTTTGAGAGGTTTTTTTGCGGGGGGAAAATCTTATTTTAACGTTAAAGTGATAAGTTTCTTTCAAAGCAATGCTGACTAGTTACTTTTTTTTTTTTTTTAAAGCCTAAATTGTACAGGTCTGTAATTGAAGATGTCATCAATGATGTCAGAGAAGTTTTTCTGGATGAAGGAGTGGATGAACAAGTTCTTATGGAACTCAAAACAGTAAGTTGCTACTTCAAAGTTTTTTTTAATAGACCAATACAGCAATTGGTTTTCAGACCTGTGTACAGTTGTATGCCGTAAAAATACTAATTTTTAGTTACCTAAGCGTTGTATTAGTGTGCATATCTGTAGCCCCGTATCATTTGAATTACAGTGCCGTACAGAGAGATCTGCTCACCTTGTTTACTTTCCCTAATCTGGCATGTCAAACTTGACATAAACTAACAGCAGGCATCTGAATTCACAGTGTTATTTCAGTTACCAAAATGTTATATCTTTAAAAAAGAAAGGGGAGAATCTGGGAGAATATGGTTATTTTAGAGGCAGATAATTCTTAAGGTATCTCTGCAGGAAAAATAAAACAGGTGCTCTGCTTGTCTGAAGAAGAGGAGTTGCATTGTCAGATACATTGTCGGATTTTTGCATGTATGGTTTGTGGTTTGCAGCAGTATTGTTTTTGGGGGGTGGTATGTAATAAATTGCATCGTGTGCATCACACTTTTCTGAAGCTCTCAGATTCAGAATTGTTTTACATACAGTGGGTTTGAACTGTTACCATGGGTCCAAAAGAAAAGCAGGGTGTTGACCTGAGCTCTAATGGGTCTCTTACGGCCTTCTTCAAATTCTTCCTGAGTAAAAGAAGCCCTTCAAAAGGGAAGACAAAAGGCAGGGGCAGGGGGGGAGGAAGAAATAACATAAAAGAGGACTAGGAAAGTAGATGCCTGCTTATCTCAGCTGTTGAATAGGGACTTCTTCAGAAAGCTGGATGTCCCACACTCTCAGTATTTTTGAAGTACTAAAAAAAGGATGGAGTAGGAAAGGAATTCTGAGTTTGACTCAACAGAAACAGGTGAAGACTTTTTTTCCATGAAATCATGACCTGGCTTGGTGGAAATGGAGTGAGCGCTGTAAGAAAAGCACCTTGGTGTTTGTGTCACAGACATGTTCTTCAAATGATGTCAGAAGAGATTGAATGAGGAAAGAGAAAAGAAGGAAAACGAAGTATTGAAGAGGAAGGTTTAGGGAGCCCTAAGCAGGATTTGAAATGAGGAGTCCTGGGTGCCTGTAGTTTTTTTGACTTTGATGTATTATGAATACTTGCATTGCTGTCTTTTGCAAGAGCTGTTTTTTTGCACCTGTGGCTTTTCTTGGGAGGTGTGTCAGCTGACATCGAGCTGAAGGGCTGGAGAAGCTGAATTTGATATTGTGGTAGAAACTGTGTAAATGCTTGTACAGATGCATTATCTTAGGTATACTGGTAGTTTCTGTTGAAGCGTGTTATGAGGCAGCAGTCTTCAAACACCTTCTATTGAGGCGTTCCAAGAAGAAATGGCTTGAGAAAAGCTGTAGTAAAGAATTATTTTTGTCATTAAAGAGGTAAGAAAGAAAGAAGGTAGAGAAGTGACAACTTGAAGGCTAATTTAAAGTTCCCAGTTTATCTCTATTCATGTGTCCATTAGGGTTGTTACGAATCTTCCACACTTGGAAGAAGGAGAGAATTTTAAAGCTTAAACTTGGACTGACAGTTCTTAAGGGATATTTAATTCCTCTTCTTAAAACGTTACCGCTGTGGAGTTATCTCTCAAGTTTGTGTTTGCCCAAGTGCTTTTTGGCTAAGCAGACTGCACAAGATAAACAATGAAAACAAATTCAATTTTGGAGTACTGTCTTTATATTGTTACAAATCCTGTTGAGTAAAAATTGTACACAGAGATTTCTCTTTCCTTTTCTGAACTAGCTGTGGGAAAACAAGCTGATGCAGTCCAAGGCTGTAGATGGCTTCCATTCAGAAGAGCAGCAGCTTTTGTTGCAGGTGCAACAGCAGCAACAGCAGCAGCAGCAACAGCAGCATCATCACCACCACCATCACACACAACCTCAGCCGCAGCAGACTGTGCAGCAGCAGTCTCAGCCACAACAGGTTCTTATTCCAGCGTCTCAGCAAGGTCAGACTTACTCTCTCATCTCTTTGGCAAAAGACTCTCAAGTTAGACCAACTCCTTAGCATATTCTAAATCTAGGGCAGGATGTTTATCTGATGGATAACTTTGTGTTTTTATGTTAAACTTTGTCTCTGCTTGCTTCTATTTAATGTGTCAAGAGAGCTGTCTTCACGAAAAATCTTGGTATTTGTGTTAGTCATATTCTTCAGAAGATTTTGGAAAAGCTGAATTCTTCTCTTGGTCTTCTGCTACGTAACTTAGGTTTTCAGAATACATGACTTTCAGATTCTGTCAAAAATCCATTAGCAGCTCTAATTTCAAGCTAATATACATATGTATTTGACAATTTAGTTGTGAGGTACTAGTGTCATTGGGAACAAATTAATTTAAAAATACATTATTATTTAGCATAAGTGGATGCTAGGATGTCAAAAATACTTGTATGACAGTCTGAGTGTATGTAGCAGATGGTTTTTCATGTTAGAACAGGTTTCAAGTGAAAAGCATAATGGCTGGGTATTTTCGTGGTCTTAAAAGATTGCACACTGTGTAGGTGTGGATGTTCAAGGTATATTTTAGCTAGCCATCACAGTATTGTTTCTTGTAATTACTGTCTTGTGTATTTTCCATTAATAATTTAAGGAAAACATTTTCACCAATTACGATTTCCTTTGAAAACTAAGATAAATACTGCTGGATTTTACAGCATATATGCTGTGTGAACAAATCTGCCACCTGTGAAATGCTTGAGTTCAGTTTTCAGTGTGCTATTAAAATTGTGGCATAAAATATTTGTGTGGTAGTCCATCACAGACTTCAGTCTTTTATCAGATTTCATGGATCAGAACCTATGATGTCATAGGCACAAAAGATAGCTATGAGTTGATTTCTCCCCTGCCTCCCAAAAAACCCCCCAAAACCCAACCACCATATATTCAAAACTGAAGAGAACTAGTGTGACAAGAACCCGTTGTTGGGGCTTTTCCTCTTGGTGTGGTTTTTTGGTTTGTTTGTTTGTTTGTTTTGGGTTGGGTTTTTTCCTTCTTACAGTACTTTGTATTTTGGCTGGACATAAATCAGTTTTGACTGTTATGATAAAATTCCTTTTGAGATTAAGACCCCTAAATGCACGTGGCTTGAAATAATGTGGGTGTCTCGGCTTGAGTTAGTCAGCAAAGCCTGGAAAGTTTACTCACCAAGACCTCTAGTGGCTCCTTAGCTGAATAGCTGTGACTCTACTGACCAGGTTTCCCTCCACTAATATGGAGGTCCTTGTCTTCCTGTTTGTGTCTTAGGGTAGAGTCAGATCCTGCTTATAGTAATACACTTAAAAGTGATTTATTGTTGCCCAATGTTGTGGCTTATGACCAAATGACAGTGTGGAGGCTAAATGAAATGAGGATATCAAAGCACTTTAATCAGACATGCAGTTCTATGAATTACTTGACTTCCCTATTCCATGGGGGAGATAATGTAGTAGTTCTTGCATGACCTGGTGCAGTCCCAGAGAGAGATCAGAATGATTGGCATGGTGATTCCCGCTGTCCTGCGAGTGGTCCTGGCACAGGGTCATGAGATTTCCTTGGGCTCTTTTGCCCTCCCTGGGTCCCCTGAAAGTTGGAGAGATGGCTTCTGATTTTGGTGCAAGGTTGTGGGGCTTCCCTCCCCAGAATCTTTTCCAGAAACTCCGTTATCCCCATTAAGTGTCCTTGGTTATAGGATTGGATGGAGAATACCTTGTCAACGATTAGTTTGTTCAAGTTGCTCTGTCGTTTTCCAATTTACTGTCACTGATACTAGCCCTGGCAACCTGCTTGTTCCATAGACTGGGACACTTTTGCACTTCTAGACGATCAACAGGTTGTTTGCATAGTTTATCTATCTATTTCCTTTAGCACACCAAAACTATTTTGTTGTTTGGGACAGGTGGTTGATCATATTTCATCTGCTTCTGCTACATTAGAAAGGCAGCGAAGATCATGAGCTTATGCTAAACAGCTATGCTAACTAGACCTAACTCAAGCTAACTGCTGCATCCTGTTAACATACTCTTCATCTTGCAACAATCCTTGCTTAAATCTGTTTTAAGAGTTAACCAGTGTCAACTGATGTTTTTGGAGAACTCTCATACTGGACATCAGCAAGTTTATCAACATTTCACTAGTACCTTTAATTTCAGAAATGTATTTTAAATCTTGCTTTACCTAGGGTCAGAGTAGGTAACTGAAGCCCTTGAAATAAGATCCGTAAAGCCAAAATAGCTGTATCGCCTCTCAGAGCTGCTGTTGTATATTGTCTTGAGAGTAAAACTTAGTAAGATCAGAGGCTGCTCAGTAGGTGTTTTTGTTATGAAGCTCAGCTGATGTTTGACTGATGTTCTTTGTAAGTTATTCTGGGTTGGATGTTATTCTAGGCAAACTGCATAGTTTTCATGAAATGCTATTTTTTTGTTTCTAGCACCTCAGCCGCAGGTTATTGTGCCAGATTCCAAGCTGATACCGCACATGAATGCGTCGGGCATGGTAAGAAAAGCAGAAGTTTGTACATGCATACGCTGTCATTACGTAAGTTGTTTTGATTAAATAGTAAACACAAATCTGGTATTAGTCATCAGATCCGTAAAAGTAATTTAGGACACACTGGTAAAGCCATCTTTCTGAGTTTTGCTGCTGCACTGACAATCTAGGAACAGTAGTCCAGGACTTCAGTTTTGATGACAAATCTAGGACTTACCTTGATCTTCTGCTTTAAATGTGTTTAACCAAAAACTTTTAATCAGGAATTGGAGTACTGTTGGTATAAATCTGCATGGTGATGTGCTCGTCATATACCAACACAACACTATTAACTGCTGATGCAAGCATACTGTATTTGCTAGATGCAGGAAAAAATATTAACTACTCTGAAACTTAAGCTTATGTCAAATGAGACATTATTTAGCAATTCACATCACTCTTTTCTGGTCACATTGACTAATTTTGTAATAGCATATAAAACTGAGCCTGACTATTTACACTTTTTTTGCAGTTTTTATCTCTAAAGGTTAATTTTGGTTATCTTATCTTGCTTTAAACACCCTGGCTTAATTAAAAAAAAAAATTGCTTGCAAAGCGATGAAAACAACAGCTAATACAAGTTAAGTATGTGTATTAAGACCAGAATTCATTACATTCTTACCACTTTTATTGTAAAAGCATGTGAAACAAAGTTTAGTGATTAGTCAAAGCTGCAGCAGCTTCCTTAGCCTTCACTGGTCTGTACCTGCTGATCTTACTATAGAAAAGAACCTGAACTTCGTTACTCAAATAGCGTGGTTTACCCAGAGGCTGAGAGCACATTATCATCTACCTTTTTCTTACATGTTACAACCATTTCAATGAGCTTTGTAACTTACCAAGTCCAACAGTTAAATTTTTTTTTTTTCCTGTCTCATTCAGTTAGCTCTTGTTGATGGGTATTGCAAAAATGAGTATGCCATGCTTTCAAAATTCTGCTGCTGTCAAAATGTAGTTTAATTGTGTATCGCAGAAGACTGCTGTTCAGTAAATAATTACAGAATCGATTTGGAATTACTGTGTGTGTTTATTAGAAACATTTAAGTTTGTATTAAAGAATGGATCTGACAGACCTTGGGTGTCTTGGAAGGCAGAGAGTAATGAGAGTTTATTCATCTGCCTTTGTCTGGCATGTGATGGTGTAGACAAGCACTTTCCAGTTTTGCTTGGTGATCCCTAATTTTGGCAGTTGTAACTACTATATTGACCGGCCAGTATGTGGAGATCATATTTCTTATAAACAGGAAGTTTGCACTCTACCCAGCCATAAAGTTGAAAACCTTTCACTAGCAAAGAGTAATCGGCCATGGTTCCTTTATAGTGGGGAAAGGAAAGCTTTTCCATAAGCAGCTGAACTTAGACCCTTGAAATGGAGAGGCCTCTGGAGAAGTCCATCTCCCTCTGCGAGTTAAGGACTTAATGCGGATTTTTGTGTTTGGAGCTCCTGTAATTGTGTTGGAATTCAGTTTCCTTGTAAGTTCAAATCATCACCTGTTGAGAGTCTTCGGCTTTCTCTTCTAACCAGCTGTCTTGAGAGAAAAAAATTAGTCATTCTGTGAGCAGTCAGTACACTGCATGCATATATTCACTCAAAAGAGCTGTGTTATGTGGGACTTGAAATGCAAATCATTTACAGAATGAAGAAAAGTGCAAACCTGATTACTACTCTTTGTGAAAACAATACAGGCAAACATGATCATTGCTTCAGTACCTTATGTTTCTTCAGATTTGTAGGCCCGTAGCTTTAGCTGCTTTGAAAAAGTGTAAGTAAAAGTGCCATATGAGCAATGTGGTGGTGTACTCTATTAGTAGATCAGCAGAGAAGGCAGAGGAGGAAAAAAAAATCTGCTGAGTTTGCAGATAAACCAAGAAAACCATGTGGAGCTGGGTTAAGGTGTGATGCTTAGTGATTGTTGCTTCAGTCTTCTTCCTATTAAGGATGAAGGAAAATAGTTTTCATATGTAGTATAATGTACAGGTGATTAATGCCTGCATTTCAATAGCGGAAGAAACTTCTGTGCAAACTTTGCAAACAGCAATAAAAAAGTACATACCTTCAGGCAGTATGTTGTGAGATGAAACACTGGCAATAACATCTGTGGTTAAAGAGCTTTTTTTGTATTTCAGAGTGCTGCAGCCACTGCAGCTACGTTGGCTCTCCCTGCTGGCGTTACTCCTGTTCAGCAAATACTTACAAATTCAGGTAACTGTCTTAACGTTGAGATCAAGCAATGGTTTTAAGGGTGCTTGGGAGGGAGAAATTCTGGGTTTTACTCCCTGCTATATACTGGTAAAAAGCAGAACCTGGGAATCCACCCTTACAAGGTAGTGCAATCTCTTCACTAGACTCCAGGACTCTTTTGCTCACTGACTTGCTAGTCTTACATACCTTGTGGTTCTCACCTAACAGTGGTATGGGTTAGATTCTGTGCAAGTTTTCCCCACTTTTTAGAGAAGCACATGAAGCAAGAAGACAGGCGTTGCTGTCGCTCCCCTTTGCTTATTTCTGAGCTTTGTGATTCATGATCTGAGCACAGATACTAGACTGGTTATAAAAGAGCAGGATCATTTCATCTGTGACTTCAGATGAGGAATGTCTTCAGGTTTCTCGTACCTGCTAAGCACACACAGTGGAATTTCTAATTTTGCTGGCAATGCTAATTTTATTTTAGATTTATCATTTTTAAATAGTCATGCTGTACATTTAGAATAAAATTAAATGTTACTTTCATAAACAGCTATCTGAAGCTTCATGTACTTTTGTATTATGCTGATTTTACAAACTTGATTCTAGATCTATTCTGTGTGGAGAGTAAAGGAAGATCTGAGAAAGCTCATTATCTAAAATCAGTTGCTGCTTTTGCCACAGTAATTCATCTAGTCTGCTTAGAATCACCTGGGATTTAACCTTCCTGCTTTAAACATTTGAATGTTTTATGGATATGTAGTTCAAATAAAATGTAAATGTGTAGCTGTTCTAGAAATTCAAATCTTTCCAATTTTTAAGGAAGCACATCTATGTTTGTCATAGATAGAACAACCTGCAGCTCACATTTGTTACTTTTGTTATGGTTGTAATTTTTTTTTCTTCAGTTACAAATATTTGTAGCATGTTTTCTTAAACAAGGGGCTAGGGTAGTCTCTTCTTTCAGATATGCTTAGTTATTTCAGTAAATAGGGCTTTGCATTTTGCTGTGGAGGGAGAACAGGAAATAAAATCAGTTTTGAGGGAAATGTATGAAGTTCAGGATTATCTAATTTAATTTCTCTCCTCCATCTTTCTGATTAGAAATGTGAAAAACTAATGTTGGAATATATCCTAGCTCTTGCTTTTCAGAGTTGGAGGCCATTTCCAAAGGTGTATGCATCTTAAGACATATTTTGCGAAGTGAGGAAAGGTATAAAATGATAAAGTTATAGGGTAATAAAAGAAAGTCAAGTACAGTCATTATGGGAACAGAAAGGAGAGGTGGATAATACCTGTAAGGATAGATTTTTCAAAAAGGCAACAGCACGATGATATTGCAAAGGAGGTTACACATAGAGGAATTTCTTGTAATGTGGTAATTGGAGGGAAAATAATCTGAGGAAAGGACATCATCTGACAGGACCCTTGAAATACCACAGTTAGCAGTAGAAAGATTTTTTGTGGTGTGAATACCTGTATTCCTATTTTGGTATGTGTTCATTTGTCTTTCTGTCTGTAAAATCTATCTTTTGAAACATGAGGTGTGTTCGTAAGTGGAAGCTAATATTTAAAATACTGTGCTGTGTTAAAGGATTAGACTTTGGCTTGCATATGTAAACTTACTTTTGGCTTGCATACCTCACAGTCGTATTTAGATGGTAAACAACCCTGTTAGCAGCTGTATCAGAAACAAAAAACTATAGCATAGTATCTTTTCACTGGTGAAAGTGAAACAAATGTTCTCCTTTAATTTTCATTGGTGTTCTTCCAGGAAACAAGCTTCTAAACTAAGATAATTTTAAAAGTGAATTTCTACATCTGATTAATTTGATATTTATTTTATTACAGGCCAGATCATCCAAGTAGTTAGAACTGCAAATGGAGCTCAGTATATCATTCAGCCACAGCAGTCAGTTGTTCTACAGCAGCAGGTCATACCGCAAATGCAGCCTGGTGGAGTACAAGCACCTGTTATACAGCAGGTAAAGAAAAGCTTTTAAATAGGTACACTTGAAAGAAAAAACATTATAGTAATTACTAAAGACGCTTCCATTTTTTTGAGCATATTGAAATAGAAGACAAAGTCAGAAATGGTATATTTAAAAAAAAGTATGAGAGAATTGTGTTAAAGAAGTGTGTTTTTTAAAAATTAACAATTTTGAAATGTCATTTTCAATGTCACTTTTATTCTTGCCAAAATCTGTCTGGCTGCACTTTAAAATTTCTTTTGTACGTCCCCTGATAATAGTACATTATGTGCATAATCCTAGTCTGCATCCTTTTAAAAATCTGTTTAATGGTTAAAACGATTCTGTGTCACATAACGTATAGAGGAAAATACATAAACCAAAACACACATCCCCCTTGGTTATTTTAGTAGTGAATACAGTGTTTTACAAGGACTTTTGTTCAGTTACAAGGTCAGCTGTGTGTCCAGACTGTGTAAGCATTGAATTTAGCATTGTGTCACAGTTCTGCAGTTTAAGCATGAATAACAATTTGTAGAGAGTTTAAAGTTAAAATGTTTTATAGAGAAGGTTTAAAAATAGTATTTTACTTGAATTTAAACATTCCTCTGCTGTGCTTGGAACTCAGGTGTGGCAGTAGTGCTAGCGTTATTAGAATGAAAAGACAATAGGTTTTCTTAGATTTAAAAATGCAAAATGCAGACAGTGAACACCGAGTAGTGAAAGAAGGTATGTTACTGAAGATGAAATTATGTATCTGATATAGGTGGAATATTTGTAACTCTTGTTTCTCTAATTAGTGCAAGTCAGATTGATATGCTTTAACTGTTTTCTGTAAGTGATGTGGTAGTCTGTTATGTTAGCAGCCACACTACTTGCAATGATATTCCATCAGGTTTTGGCTCCTATCCCTGGAGGGATTTCCCAGCAGACAGGAGTGATTATTCAGCCTCAGCAGATCCTGTTTACAGGAAATAAAACACAGGTCATACCTACAACAGTGGCTGCCCCTACACCGGCTCAAGCACAGATTCCTGCAGCTGGTCAGCAGCAACCACAACAGCAACAGGCACAGCCACAAGCACCACTTGTTCTCCAAGTTGATGGAGCAGGGGACACATCATCTGAAGAAGAAGAAGATGAAGAAGAAGACTATGATGATGATGAAGAGGAAGACAAAGAAAAAGATGGGGGTGAAGATGGCCAGGTTGAAGAGGTAAACTTGACATTATTTCAGAAAATTGGAGAATGCTTGTGTTTCACTCTAATTTTTTTGCAATATTTGAAAGAAAACTATATGCTTCAAATAATATTATATCAGTCATTTTGAGACTGTAACTTTCATCCTTGTACTTCAAGTTTTTTATTTCCCATATTGAAGTTGTGGAAACTGTGTGTATTAGCAAAGCACCTTGAAATGCAGCTTGGGAAGGCGGGGACACAGCAAAAACTGTTAATTGTCATGAATGCCCTTTTAAAAACTTCAGCAGTAATATTTCTGATGTTATGGAGAGGTCAGCCATGAAATTACGAAACCTTTATAAGCAAACAAATAGTCAACTCCACTTGGGACTGAGTGCATACAAAAGCAAGGTGTTAGGAAGATTGACAAAAAGGAGAGCCTATACTTAATTCACTGAAGGGACCAATAGATGTGTCTGACCTGTATCTCGCTGATAGTCTGTTGCTTTCTGTTACACTAGAACAAGCCTGACAACTGAAATTTGCTTATAAAGCACCTTCTAGGAACACATCTGACCTTGATTTAACGAAATCAGGAGATAGGAGCAGGAGTGAATATTCTTCATAGCTTGTTGCATTCCTAACAATATGTGCTTAATCTAGACTTTGAATTTGCTTGGTTTTGGACTTTAGCCAGTGGTTCTTACTGAGTTTTGGCGTGTTGCACCAAAAAGGCCCACAAGAATAAGAAATTAAAAAAAAGAGGGGGAGGAGAGATACTAATAAGCTAAAAGTACTGTTATTTCAGTCTCTGACAGGAAACTTGGTACTCCCTAAATCTATCCCTAAAATGCATTTTGAACTGTCAGATCACTTCCACAGTTCTCTGCAGCCCTTGCAGTTATTTTAAGATTCCGCTTAAAATGCCGATGAGGAGCATATGTAGCATTTCACAGTCTGTATCACCCATGCAGTATATGCAGGTAAAACTTCTAATTTTTATCAAGGAGTTAAATCGGGTTTTCTGTAGTACATTTACAGTGGTGCCTAACCCTATTTTTCTGTTACAATTTACAGGTTGGGTTCACATCACTTTTCCATTATATTGATCAGCACTGATGTCAGTTTGAATGTTTTAATAGTTGCCTTATTAAGTATAGGTGATCATGCTTAAATATTAAGTGTATTATAAAGTTAGGACTTTATTATCAGCATGCCAGAGATCTGTTATTTTTGCTACCTTTGTTCGTCAGCAGTTACTTAATGAGTGGACCAGCTCCTTAAAGCTTTTGAAATCACTTAAATATAGCATTACTTTGGAAAGAATTAGGACCTCTAGTACAACCTTTTCTTCTCTCACTAGCATCTCCCCTGTTTAGCTTGTATATTTGGGAGTAGGTGGGAAGATGAGGATTATACAGAAGACTTCAGAAAACTTGTTTTGTGTTTATTAGAGGTTGTTTTAGCTTTCAAATGTTTGTTAGTTGCATGAGATGAAAAAAAATCCCCAAATTTTTTGCTGGAGCAGAGTCTTAGCAGAAAGAGGAAAAAAATGAAAGTAATCTTTAAAGGACATGAAAATACATTTTAGAAGGTCTGGAGAAGTTATTTTGTATGTATCTCTGCAAGATCATCTTAAAGCGTCTTTTTTTCCCCTCCTGTAAAAACTTTCTGCATGTGTTGAGGTCTTTTTCTGTTTGTGGTACCTCAAACGTGAATAAGTCATGGAGTTTCTATTTTTAATGGCACATGGGGAGTGATGTGACTAATGTCACTTTTCCACTGCTTAGATGCTTTAGAAAAATGAAAATCTGCATAATGATGAATTTTTTGTAAAGACAAATTGCAAGCACCGGAACATTTATAGTAAAGGAGCAAGAATGGTTGTGGTGACAAAAGGCTGCAGTGCCCAGAATCTGGCCTGGACACTGAAGTTCCAGACTAAAATTGGTAAGGACATCTCCTCAGGATGGAGGGCAGGAAGGAAGTGTATGTACATTAGCCCTCTGCTGGAAAGCCTAATATTCCCCACGTCAAATGCATTTTAGGTCCTGTAGTTCATAGACAAGGCTGTAGCCTCATGTGAGTAATCAAAGTAACAGCTCTGATCTTATTAAAGAGCATAACTCTTTGGATGTGTTTCTTTCAGGAGCCTCTTAACAGTGAAGATGATGTGAGTGATGAGGAAGGACAAGAACTGTTCGATACAGAAAATGTTGTTGTGTGCCAGTATGATAAGGTAATCTCTACATAACAGAATCCAAGAATTCTGCTTTCTCTGTTCCTCTTCCTATTAAGTCATATTTTTTAAGTAATATCTTTGTGACTGTTAAGTACAGGTAGATCTGTAGAGATTATAATGTGAATGGTTATATAAGAATTAGCTATTGTTTGTTTTTAAAACACATTTGTGTGACGTGTTTGTACTAAACTTGGTAATGAGTAGAGCTTAGAAAAATTTGGTTGCATTTTCTTTTTCTTCATCATGTCATTTTGTGACCTTTAACAAAAGGTCAGTCTTCTGGGCTCAGGAGAAGTGAACTATTGTAAGTAAGCTTGTACATTTGCTGTGGCCATGGATGAAAGTAGTAGTCATTATGATTTAGACTTGTGGAAAGCTGTTCCTTGATCACTAAAAATATCTCTTTCCTGATGATAGAATAGTTGGCAGAGGAGAAGGTTCTTTCTGTGCTATGCATTCTTTACTGAAATGGCAATGTGGAATGCTTTTGCTTATTTTGCTTTAAATTCTGCTGAACTGTCTTGCCTCCTCTGTAATGACTAATTTCTTCTTGCATATTTGCCCTGGAATATGAAAGGATTCGTCCATGTCTGGAATTGTTTTAAATGTGTCTAGAGGATATCAGACACCTTTTTACTGAGGTAGTATGCAGAAAGATTATTCAGTGTGGATTTTCTTTCTTTTCCTGTGCTAGATTAATTGGACTACAATGAATAAGGATCCTTTTTAAAGCAGAAAAAAGCTGTAAGCTTGTTGAATAAAGACTCCTACGTTGCAAAGGATGGCTTGGTTAGAAAGTCTTCAGTTATACCCAGACTCTGCTTAGACTTGTCATCAGATTCAACAGAGAATTTAAGATAGAGGGAAGCGGTATCAGTATGTACGTTCCAGCCATCTGTGTCCTCCAGACTGTAATCCAAAACTGTTAGTTTCAAGGCAGTTCATGAGGATAGTGAGGAACCTCAGAATAGCAGTCAGAAAAGCTTGTTGGGAGCTGCTAAAGCTGAGCAACAGGAACTACTCTGAAATCCTCGCCCTCTTAAAAGTTAAGAAGGTGAACTCAGTAGGGAACAGTGTCCATCGTTAACCTCTAGTGCCAAGTGCTCTGAAAGGAATGCATCACTTACCAAGCAATTGTGGTTCAGTTTGTCTCTATAAAACACACAGGATCAGCTCAGTTGTTCTGAGCAGAGTTCCCGCTTGCGCAGTGTCCTGCATCAGCTGATGGTGGTGCCTCTGGAAGAATGAGACAAGGGCAAACACAGCGATGCTCGTGTAGAGCATTTTACCATCCTTCTGTGAACTGTCTCTTCAGGGAGAGAGAGTGGCTTTGTGTCAAATGGCCAGCAGAGGATTTTTTCCTTAATTTGTCAGAAATGCATTTGATTGTTTTTGGAATCCTTGTAAACTTTGTCTTACAACAGAAAGTTTCATAAATGAATTGTGTGATGTGTGGAGAATTACCTGGTTTTTAACTCATTAGTTTCATATGATATACCTCCTAGTTTTTTATTCAGAAGAGTGTTTCCTCTTTGCTTTCTCGGTGCCTTTTACGATATTGCAGACCATCATAACCCTCCTCAGTCATCTCTTTGAAATCAGAGCTACGCTTTGCTTGGTTGTTGTTTGTACAGCTGTCCAAACATTTGCTTATTCTTACTTTCATTCTCCAGATCTGTTTTATTCTTCCATATCTTATTTGATAGAGGTAGATAAGGTTCAGGGAGGATCAGAGCTATTCATAACACAGGCTAACCTTCAATTTATTAAGTGGTGTAGCAATGTTCTGCAATAGTTCATTTGTGCTGAACACAGAGCTGATGCTCTCATGGAAAAGTCTTAGAACACTGGGATCTCATTCCTGACTTGTAATTGTCCACTCAAACCCATCATTTTTTCTGTCCATGTAAGTTGGAATTGTTTTTTCCATCGTTACTCCCTTCATATACATTGAATGCCACCATTGTTTTATTATGCAATGAGTTAGGGCAGTAAAAACGTTCTGCAGCTCTTCAGTAACTGTTCTTTTGTATCTTCAGTGATGTTTTGTCATTTTCCAGATAATTAGTGAATTCTTAAAAGATGCAGACTCCAGCCAGCACAAATCTCTTCTGGAATGATCTCATTTCTCTGTAAAAACAGTGTTCTTACCCTTGTTTTCCCATCTTTATTCAGTTATTTATTCATCTGAGGACCTTCCTTCTTACCTCATAGCAGCTCAAATGCTTCTGATGAGGGGTTTTTGTTGGATACCATTTGGAAGGGCAAGTAGAGTATATAAGTGAGGTCTTTCCTTGTTCGTTTATTTGCTGTTGCCACTGACTTTTTAGCTTAAAGTGAGCACAGACCAAACAATAGTACTAGTAATTGATTGAGTGCTATGGTCATATCTGTTCTGGTGCTACTTATTGTTTGCTTCTACAGCACTGATACTAGATAATGAGACTTCCTGTCCTTGATGGAAATGGAAAAATTGCAATGGCGTTTCCTTGGTTTTGTGCCTTTTGTAAAGTCTTTTTAACTTCTTTCAGATTGCCTAATTACACTTTTATGTTTTCTCTGCAAAAGTTTATGATAATCTTTTCTCTTTTGGACAGTATTTCAGCTTTATGAAAGATCTTTGCTTTCTTTTAATATCTTGTCCTGCTGCTTAATTGTACTGGTGGTCTTTTGCTCTTTCTGATGCACTTTTTGATAGGTGGCAGGTATTTATCTGTTATGTGCTTACAGTATGTGGGGGTTTTTGGGTGGGGGGAGGTGTTTTTTTGGTTGGTGGGGTTTTTAGGTTTTTGCAAAATTTACTCTTCCACCTTTATACTGAATTATTTCAGTTTCCTTTAATTTTAAATGAAACATAAGAACATAAATTTAGTTAAACACTCTTCTAGTGGATTTATTGACTTCTTATTACCCCTGGGAAAATGTTTGTCTTGCGTAGTTGCTGTTGGTTCTGGTGATATTTTCTAACTTAAGCCCTGTACACTGTCTTGAACCAAGAAAAGGATTGTATGTTTTGTGGCTTCCTGACTTAGCTTCTTCATGAAGTAGGACTTGGCTGTGTAGTATCTAAAAAGCCTCAGTGCTGCATGTTGGTGTTTACTCAGTAGGCATAAGACAATTGAAGTCTTCCAATACTACAACTATTTCTTGTGCTTGTATCTTCTCTGATCTCCTTCACCACATTGATCAACCTGCTTCCTGTAGTCATGTAGTATTTGTTTGGGAATGGGCATGAAGAAAGAAGAGTTACTTCTGTAAAGAATATTTTTGTAAAGAGAATATGAATAAAACTGTTGTTTTATTCTTTATCTTATCCACTGTCAACATTATATCCATTATAGCTTGAAGATCCATTACGTCACAGGCTCCTTTAATATGGACTCCCTGGCGAGCAAGAATGGAATGAATGTTGTCTTTTTTTCTTTCTTTTACTTTTTTTCCCTGTCCTGTTCTTGGGTTGTTGCAAATAGCTGGACTGATCTCTCAGCTTAATCTTAGAAATGTCTTTTAAACAAAGCCTTGAAAAGGCCAATATTTTAACTGGGAAGACTATAGGTTAAAGTTGAAGCTTCATGCCATCATCCCCAATACTGGAGATGTTACCTTTCTCACTTGACACTTTACGATGAGAATTGGAATGAAAATCATATACAATGACTCACCATTGAGGAGAAATTATAGAATATAAGACTAGTATATATATTCTATATCAGCTTGTGCATTTTGTACCATAGAGATTTTCAGACTGAAAACCTTGTTAATAAGGCACTTGCCTTTTAACCAAAACATAACTTTCGGAAAGCCAGGGTCAAACTCTGATTAGAAGTAGCAAGTTGAGTAGGCCTGCTATCTATTTTTACATAACATAATCAAACTAGTTTTCATGCAGAGTGGAGTTTAGACAAGAGGTGCAAATAATAAAACATAGTGTTTGACCTTTTCAGGGCTGGTTTAAAACATTAGTCTTTCTGTTAACAGTGGTTGAAATGGGGATTTCTGGCTTTCAAGTGGAGTTTCATGGCTGTTGTAATCAAAGAGAATTTAATCAAAATAAAGCAGCACAGGTGGATATATCTCTCTTCTTCCTTTCCAACCACCTCTAAAAATGTGCTATATGCTTTGGATTTTGGAATGCCTCTGTGCTTGCATTTTTTTGTGACAGTTGCTGTCCCTGTTTTAAAAAACAAAACCAGAAAATACTGCTATATGCATAATTAGTTATTGTTTTTCACAGCTAAATGCAGAAATGATTTTCAAAATATTTGTAGTAATTTAGTAATGTATGTCTAATAGTTATTTTCATTTTTTCTTGCCCTTATAATTTACTTACGCATTATTATCTATTTCTGATGCAGAGTAATAGTTCAACTTTTTTCCCTGTTTTTAGATTCATAGAAGTAAAAACAAATGGAAATTTCATCTCAAAGATGGCATCATGAATCTTAACGGAAGAGATTATGTATTTTCCAAAGCCATTGGGGATGCAGAATGGTGAAGTTTTAAAAGACAAAACAAAATAAAAAAACTCCCTGTAAGAGGAAAAAAAATCAAAAGCAGGAAAGGTTGAGACTTGGACATATACTCCAATCAAAATGTGTATCTGCACATCATAAATAAACAATAAACAAAAGTATTGGAACAAAGGTAAAATGTGGCAACAAAGACACTACTTCAGATGAGCAAGCCATGGACTGTAGCAGCTATAGCATTGTCTGGGAGCTGGTTTTGTGTGTTAGGAATACCTTAATTATCAATTCTACATACAGGTACCTACAGCTGGTATTTAGCATGTAAGGCTTTGTTCCCCTCCCTGCCCCCCTTCTTCCCTTGATTTAAGATTTTAAAATACTTCTTCCACTGATTGAAGGAACTCTTCCCTTTGATAGATTATTAATCTGAAAATGCTTATTGTGTGTACAAATCTTTGCTTTGAACACTTCCTTTTGGTAGTGAGGATGGTCAGAATGTTACTTAAACTGCGTGCAAGCTTTGTACAGAAGGGTAAGAATTAAGGTGTTAAATTTTAAATAACTTGTATAAGGAAAATATTTTTAATTGATATGCTCATTAATTATTATATCTATTTGTTGTTTTCAATTCAGTTCCCCATAAACAGATTGTTGTTCCTAGCAGTTACAAAATGGTAAAATGATCATTTATATTTCAGAATTATTTTAACTTCATGTAAGTGATACATTTTATTTAGGGCTGTATTTTTTAAATACTAAGCACCTGTAGCTCCTCCGCACGAAAGTCAGATTGCTTAACCTGTTACTTGTATTCTTGCTGTTTGGTGGTGGTTCAGCATCACTGAACTGAAACGAATAATACAGTTTCCACTTTTTTTTTTTTTTTTTTTTTTTAAAAAAGGCTTTTGGAGACCTTTTGAATCAGATGTGTAGATGATGGCGTAATAGATGCATTCCTTCACCTGCTTACTACATATGTAGTCCAGACATCCACAAATAATTCAACAGACCACACGAATGACTACATTTTTAATACAGAAAAATTACATAAAAATTCTAACATCCTGGCTGCAACTCTGTTAATCAAAGATCTGCTTTACTAAAAAGTATAGCCATAAGTTACCTGCAGTAGTTAATCTCTCTAAAGTTTCCAGGTGGCATATAACTTCATGAAGAGAGCTGCACAGCTTTGAGAACACAAATTTTGATAGAATATCTTTAGACTGTCTTGGTAACAGAAAATTAAGCAGTCGGATGCACTAAAACTTGTGTAGTCACTTTTTCACTTGCCTTTTCCAGAGGTGTGGTTTTGTGGTGGGGTTTTGGGTTTTTTTGGGTTTTTTGTGAAAAGCTGCTCCCTCGTTCACTTCTCAGGAGAGGAAGGGAAGGCCTTTTCTTCATGCATAGGTTATTCTTGTACACCCTGCTTTTTGAAATGCAGCTACTTTGGAAAGAGGAGAGGGAATGGGCATTATACTTCAGAAACTGTTGAGGAAGGAATGTTCATGTGGCTCACCATTTCAAAAAAAGTTTTATGTTTCATTGGGTGCTTGGAAAGAAGATGAAAGAAGGACACAGCAAAAATAATTTTAACTAAATTGGGGAAGACTTTCAGAAGCAGACATTTGAACCATGATTTCTGACCTTTTTTTGCTTAAGAACGAAACTTTAAACATTACTTAACAAAGTCACAAGTCTGTTTTAGCAGTATATAACAACTGCTCTAATTTTCATTCTGTCTGATTTAATTGTTTCCAAGTGCATTCATAGTCTCAGTAGTACTTAGAAAACTCAAAAGACATTGTAAAGAGAGGGTTTTTTGCTGTGATTTTGTACACCTGTGCTCTCATTGATACAGACTAAAACTGCCTGTAGGCTATGTGTAGAGCCATATGGTTGTCAGTAAGCCATCTACATACATAAGCTTTATGAAAAGTTAATTGATGTTTCCTCTAATTCATTCTTAAGTAATGGAATTGTTATTTAGAGTGCATTTTTGGCTTGGGGATTCAAGGTATCTCAAACTGATCGGTGTTTTGCTTTCCTCTGAACAAAGCAGATAATTTTTTTTTTTTTTTTTTTTTTACCACTGTTGACACTTCTATGTACAACTGCAATGTAATCGATAATGTACCAACTAATTCCTTCCCTCACCTTTTCCATATCTGTTACCAGTAAGTCTTAAGTAGTGGACTTCAGAAAAATTCCCGTAACGTTGCACAACCAAACCAATAAAAGGAAGAAAAATCCCTTTAGCTATAGATTCCTGTTTATACTACTGGAACCCAGATTACTTGTACAACACTTTGTTTTCATACATCTTAGGGATTTTTTTTCACCCACATACCTATACTAGGAGCTGCGTAGCCTTTTTATTTATTTTTAAGGGATAGCAGAACTGTAAAGGTAACTTAAGCTTGGCCTGTTCTGAAGGATGTTAGAAGCTTTCTGAACTTGCAGTCTCTTGCAAGCTAATTGTATCGTATGCTTTTCAGAAAAGAAGTTTTGTTTTCAAATACAAATACCTGTGAAGTTTTCAGAAAGCCAGTCAAACATGAACATACCGAACTGTGCTCTTATTGCTACATCAAGTGTTCCTTTTTTAAATCAAAAAGCATGTTTTAATTTCATTTTATTTGTAGCAGCTTGCTGTAAGAATGTAGTTTGCTTAATTTTATTATTGTACTTGAATTTTTAATCATGGTTTTAGCAATGTAACTGAACAGACCATTTCATTAGGTTCCAAAGAAACCATTCCTTTCAGAGGGCAAGGGATTCCCATGTTCATAGTTCATAAATGATTCCCCCCCCTCCTCCCCGCCTTGGAAATAGTTTTTTGTTTGGT